ACCTGTCTGTCTTCTGGTGTGGATGCTTTGCCCCAAAGTTTGGTGTCATCGGCGAACTTGGCCAGTCCGCTTCTGACTCCAATGTCCACATCATTAATGAAGATGTTGGGCCCAAGGACAGAGCCTTGGGGAACCCCACTGGTTACAGGGCACCATGACAATTGGCTTCCGTCAATTACTACCCTCTGGGTCCGACCACGGAGTCAATTTCCCAGCCAGTGGATCATGGTGGACCCAAGGCCACAATTGGCCAGTTTTGCCAAGAGGTGATCATGGGATACCAGATCGAAGGCTTTTTTGAAGTCAAGATATATGACATCAATCTCTTCTCCCTTGTCCAGGTGATAGGTCACCTGGTCGTAGAAGGAAATGAGATTGGTCAAGCAAGACCTACCCGCAACAAACCCGTGCTGGCTATCCCTTAAGATGTTGGCGTCGGCCAGTCCATTAAGGATGGCCTCTTTAATAAACTTTTCTAAGATCTTCCCCGGGATAGAAGTCAGTCTGATGGGCCTATAGTTAGCCGGATCCACTTTCCTCCCTTTCTTGAAGATAGGCACCACATTGGCCTTCTTCCAGTCTTCGGGCACTACACCAGAGCATCAAGAGTTTTCAAAGATCCGTGCTAGAGGCTGGGCTATGATGCTTGCCAGCTCCTTGAGTACCTTGGTGTGTAGATTGTCAGGGCCGGCTGACTTGAAGGTATCCAGCTTCTCAAGATTTTCCTTCACGAGGTCAGCATTAATGGAGGGCAGGGGATCACCCTCACTCGGACTTCCCTGTCCCATAGCGGGCATGGGTGTCCCATGGGACTGATGAAAGACCGACACAAAGTACCCATTTAATAGGTTGGTGACATCTTTAACCCATGTAGTGCCCTAGGGTTGATATAGGGAGACTATTCCACTGAGGGCCAGGTCCAGACCCCAAGCAGTAATAAAAACTGGCCAGGCATGCCTCACTTAACCCTTAATGCTTTATCCTGGGACACTTCCAATATCCTCCCCCAAGACATTTATCTGTACTACTTTTGCTGCTCATAACTATTCACTCTGTCACCTCTGGATTTTAGTACCATCTTCTTCCTGGTAATTCCTCCCTCACTGGGAGCCCTACCCAGGACTCTGAGTAGATATTACTCCTTTGGCTTCCTAGCCTGTGTTAACCTTCTCTACCTAGCTAATAGTCTTTATAAGGCTGTAGTAGATGGAGTCAAAAAATGGTAGACAGACTAGCTCTTAAGGGGGATGCCCATCTATACATAATATGAGGTTCTGGTCATGTATGTCCCTAGTTCTAGTCAACACTGGTTTGTGATAGCAAACTAGGATTTACTTTTAATGCAATTTTAATATATATGTTAATACAATTGTTTTACAAGCTGTGCGTGTGTGCATGTGTACAAATACTGAATTTAAACCATTCAGAATCAAGCTAGTAGAGGCTTTTAAAAAAGGAACTCCATAACAAAGCAGACTTTTAACACTTGATGCCTAGCTGTTTACATTAAAAAAAAACAAACCTCTGGGTGGTTCAGTATAGAAAGCAAGTGAGTTTGCAAATAGCAACCATAAAAAAAATTGGTCCTGTCACAGAATCCTGAACTTTGAGAATCTGAGCTAGGCAGACTAGGAGATCTTAGGGTTTATGTAATCTTGCAATATTTTGGTTAGATCACAAAGTCTGGATGCTAACATTGCAAGAGTGATTTATATTGCCCTATTGCATCTACAAGCAATTCACACTTCCACATTAATAAAACTAATGTAAAATCTGTGGAAATGGAGATCTTCTCTTGATATCTTTTATTAGACCAAATAAGTAGTTAGAAAAATTGTTCGTTGAAAGCTTTTGGGCACAAACAACCTTCTTTAGGCATAGAGAGAATCTGCTGCTGTCATAGATTCTCCCTATGCCTAAAGAGGAGTGTAAGAGAGAACTAGACGTAGCACAGCATAAGAGATAACCAAGTGTAGCACAAAGCTTAATAATAGGGCAGAGTGGCAACAGACTGTTAGGAGCTCAGGGTGCCTACAGATGATTAGGACCCCTGCTTTAACTCATGGTGCTTTACACAAAGTGCCATGAGTTAAAGCCCCATGCCCCTCCCCTGACCCAAGAGACATTTGCTTGTTGGGGGGGGGGGGGGGGGGGGGGCGTGGTGGGGGGGGGGGCAGGGGTGGGAGAGGGGTAGAAATTGAGCCTGCCTGTACTGGCCCTGGCTAGCAGGCAGGGGTGCTCCAGCAGCCTCTGGGGAGGCTGCTGAATTGCCCCTCTCCCTAGTCCCACACCCAGCTCGGGGGCTGTCAGAGGGGGAGGGATCATTTGAGTCTATGAAAGCATCTAGCATCCTGATAATCTGACAAAACCTTTCATAGCATCTGACAAAACAAGCTGTTGCCCACAAAAGTTTATGCCTTTTTGAACAACTTAGTTTCTACGGTGTCACCCTGCCTTGCCTTCTGCTTGACTTCAAATTAACATGGCTAACTACTACTCCCTGCAGAGCTGAATGGTGTTTCTGTTATCAAAACCCAACCCAGGCTCACTTACTTTTTTGTTAGCCTGTGGGGCCAAAGAGGAAAAAGGGATGCATAAAGAAGATTATCTACAAATATAATGTTATTTCATTAAGTACTTTAAGCATTCATAATGGAGATGGATTAACACAAAACATAAAAGAATCCAAGAGTGATCTAAGTTAACGGAAAGCTCTCAGTTAAGCCTCCTTCATTTGCCCACTGTACTCATGTCTGTGCTTTCTCCATATCCCAGTCTACACATTAACAAATATAAAATATAAAAGTTTATTTCCAGTAGGGAAGACCAGTTCACAAACACATCCCATGTATTATACAACACTATAGAATATATAGCAATAATCTATAATTGCTAATTAACAGCTGTAAAAACACATTTCCTTTTTTCAAGCACTTACAGAGGGAAAGTAATGCCAGAGTACTGAAATGCAATTACCACTTTATGGATTAAGCAAATGTAGTCAATTTTGGTTTACTTTAACCTCTTCCCAGACTACAAGAGCAGTTCTTGGCAGAGATTTTTCTACCCAATTGAAAGATTAAAACAATAAAAAAAAAAAAAAAAAATGTACAGAAAGATTAAGCTGTCATGTCCAAAATCAAAGTTATCAAGGGCACATGTGTATGGCATGATGCAATGCCAGAGTTATCCAGGCTACCTCATTCAGCAAGTCCAAGTAGCCAGGACAGAGCACTGCATTAACATGGCTATTTCGCTTCACTTCCCTTCCCCCCAGCTGACTTTTTCAGAGATGGTTTCAGTATCTCAACACAGGAATTCATTGTGCCATGATGATATATTCTAAGTGACAGTGCAGGGAACAGAAGTGAAAAGTCCAGACTCCCAGCATCCTCCTGGAACTATTAACCCATGATTCAAGAGAGGACAAATGTTAGGCCCATTCAGCTTGACAGAGTTAGTAGTTATGTTCAACAATAATAAACTTCTTTTGTCTTCAGTCCTTTCTTGCCACGGAACTGCAAGTGGTTTATAAACAATAATGGATTAAGCCTAATGCCAAGACTGACAGGTAAATATTATTATTGCCTTTATGCAAAATAGAGAAACTAAAGGGGTTGTCACAGGACATAATTATTACAAAGTAATCTACCATGGATATTATTCTACTGTAAATTTACCCTGTGGTAAAGAAAGGACACACAACCAGCTCTGGCAAGCTAGCTGCCTGCAGTAGGCACTTTTACACTGCCTGGCCACTCAGCTTCACACAGTAAAAGTAAGTCACTATGTGTAAATGTGCTGTGTGTCTGCCCCCTGATTCATGAAATGTTTATTTAGCTGTGATAAGTCTGTGACACCACTGGGAACAGACCCCAGATCTCCCAATTTCACACTGTCCACCTTATTGAAGGAGTAGTCCTTCTGGTATCATATTAAGTACTGTATCAGTGTTACCCCCTTACGGTTGGTGGTTGGAAACTATCTATAAAATTATATAAAATATAAAAATATATCACACAACATTCTCTAGCACAATTAGATTCAACTCAGATATGATTTTATGATATCCCGATACTTACATTGTCATAATTGATATATAACCAAATAATAGATTTAGAATCCCAGAAGGCAACCTTACCATAGAGAGCCTTTGCACTCGTTTTCGAACTTTGTTCCCTCTCTGCCTGTGCAAAGGTAGGTGAGCCATATCCACTGTAATAAAATGATCATGGTTAGTTTATTTACAGGGTCTGTTTGCTACAAGTAGAAGGCCTTTATGAAGGCTTGTAAACATATGCAAGGACACACTCATACCCTAGTACTACCAATTGGGGCAACAATAATGCACATCCCATGTCATGTGCTAACTATGCATAATTCACTCAGACTGTAAACTATTTGGAACAGGGCATGGGTTTGTACAGAGCATAGTGGGCCCTGGTCCACGATTGGGGCTTCCAGTCACTACTAGAAAACAATTATTACTCTTACCAATATAAACATTAAAAAAAAATGAGGGAAAGAATTATTGATTAACTGTCCACTGTTCTAAAAGTGGAGTGTTTCTCTTATGAAAAAGAAAAGCAAAAGAACAATTGATTACATTGGGCTATAATGAAAAGAACAAGCAATTTCTTCCCTGAGTAGATACAAGAATGTATCACAAATATCCAAAAGGCAGGCCACAGTGGCACCTGAGGATGACTTGCATGTTACATTTAAACCATGCTAAATCTGTGGGATGTTAAGTGGTATTAAAGTTAGAATGTGCTATGAGCAGTTGCACGTTAAGGGTTAATACCATTTCTTGTCTACACAGATCTCACTTGCCACTACAGGGCTAGTGGACAGAAGTGTGACTAGGAGCTCAGACAACCTCACTCTATGCCTGCTTTGGGTGGCAGGGGAGAGGCCAGAGGAGCAGTGGCAGAAACATGGAGCTTGGAGACTTAGAGGCATGGGTACTATGGCTTCAATCCATAGCCCGACCGACACCGCTTCTCGTCCTGGCATGTGCTGCAGGGAAAAAAGCATTTAAACCTCAGCTCCATGCTGGAGGCAGAGCTACCAGAGTTTAGTATGGTGGCAGCATGGAGCCTCAGGGAAGCACACTTCCCTGCTGACTAAGGCTCCATCCTTCTGCTGTGCTAAACCCTGGGGATCCATCCTGGTAGCACAGTCATCTTTCTGCTCCCCACCTTAACCCCTAGATTAGAACAGGAGGTGTGGAGAGAAGCCACAATACCCATTAAGCTGCCTAGCTAGGAGACAGCCAGCTATGCTTGGGAAAAAATGGGCCAGGAGGCATGGGAAAATTTAAATTAACTTTGAGTAAATGAGTTAATTGAACATTTCTGTGGCCTTTGTCTGGTTCTGGGTGAAAGCCTTGGAGGGCTGAGACTTGGTTGGAGGGTAAGCGGTGGAAGCTGGGATCAGGTCAGCAGGGGTTAGTGGAGGGCTCCCCACAGCACAGACCTTACCCACTATCCCCACCCAAAGACAGGAATGCAGAAACCTGCAAAGGGAAGCCAGTGCCCCCATGCCTTTCCATCTCCCAGCTCCATACCCAGATTATTGCAATTGCCCTGCTCCTAGAATTGGCAGGGCAGGGTAGGGTCCTGCCTGCTACTAGACAGTACCATCCCCTGGGCAGTAGACAAAGGAAATGCATGCTTTTCAGTACTAGATTAAAATCAGTTCATTTCTGTAGACTGATGCCCTGCCTCTGTCAGTTAGCAGTATGTCACCTGCCCAGAAAACATCAGGTACCAACCCCCACCAATAAACATATACACACATTATATCATTCTGTGCAAGGGGAGATGGAGATATTTTCTGACCCATGTAAAGAATGGTCTAACCTCTGAAGAAGGGGATAAATTAGTGCTTGGATTTAGCACAGACTTAATCATGTTAATCGGGTTCACCCTCTCCAAGCAAATAAATAAATATCTTATTGCTGCTGTGGTATATCTCCTTGCTACACGCAGGCTGAAGAAGCCATTCAACAATATGGCTTTAAATTACTAACACTAAGACAAAAAAATGCAATGTACTGAGGTTGTTTTTCAATGTGGTTACATAATACAGAATCTGAGAATTCTCTTATAAAAAGTGTCACATTTTTCTTATTGCTATTGGTGATTTTTTGTTTTGCTTACAAATGAGAAAAACACACTTATTTTTTCTTGGTAGGTGAGGGAA